TGCCCTGGGGTGGGTGAGTGCTGGTGGGCCGGAGCCTGTCAGACACCTGCGGGATTTCTTGGGTCATTCCGGGCCATTTGTGGTCCCTGCTCGTTCCCTTCTTCCCCTAACTCCTGCGAGCGCTCCTCGCCCCCTTCAGCGTCTTGGGCGAGCCTTCGGGCAGGGTCCGTTCGCACTGACGCCTGTCTCCTCTGAGCATGTCTGGCCTTGTCATACTGCAGACACAGGAAGAAAAGAGCTGGTTCAGGGCTGAGGCGTCAGTAGGATCGGTGTTAAGGGGAATAATGATCAGCAGCGTGTGACCCTAAAGGCTGTGGTAGGGCGAAGAGCCCGTAGATCAGGATCAGGTGTGTTTGGTTTTAATCCAAGGCAAGTAGTCTCAGTGTCAACACAACGATTCCAGCACCTACGAGCATGTATAATTGCAGTTTAAATCCAGACAAGTTGGAGGCCAAAGGGGTCAATACTTATTGACGTGGTTGGAGTATTAAAAAAAACAAAACCCATATTCTGATTTGCTTCAGAATGATGGTCTTGGGGGTTTTCTTTTTTGGTTACTTTTGCCATTATTTTACGGTCCATATTTTGTTCTGTTTTATTTCTGAATGCTGCTGTTGTACTTTTAATTTAATCATTTTTGGTTTATCACCCTTTGATTTCTTGCTTCAAGAGCTAGCATGTGTCACTTTCCAAACAAGTGGATTCTTCTGGCATTTGTTGAACTCACCTATTGCTGCCAACTCTCTTAGTAGTAGAGATGGTAGGAGCACTAGTGGCCACTAATTTATCTAAATCTTGTTTAGATCAGAGTTAGTTGATTTTATGGTAATTAGTCTGCACCCTGTCACTACTAACAGTAGGTGCAACAGTAGGTGTTTTTTTTAAAAAAAGCATAGCTATGCTAACTCAGTGAAGTAACTGGTGTCAGAGCACTTGTCACAGAATAGATTCTTTACTGAGCATGGACAAAATGCAAGATTCTGTTTACTGTGTTAAATAGGTCAGAAATAGGGGTACCATCACTTAAGTGATATGTGGCACTGAAAATTTACAGCAGTGATAGCAAGACTTGGCAGCTTCTTGATTCCATTGCTGTCTTAATATCTCTCTTCAGTTCTCTAACAAAGCTGTAAATTATTTGTTAGTGATTTCAGGAGGTGGACAGAGAAGCCTTGTCTGGGCATGTGGAGGTACTTGCACAAAGATTGCATTCTCTGTCATCAGGTTTGCTGCAGAGCCTTTTTTGAACAAATGATTTCAGCTAACAATTGAAATGTAGAATATTTATATTGCTATCTTGGTGTACTATTCTTCCTTTGCAAATACACAGGTTTCTTGATGTTGTAACACATCAGTAAAATAATTTATCAAATACATGAAAAGTTTTTGTAGAGCTCTGGGGCTTTTTTCCTCTATTTTTACTTTGTGAGTCGGTTTCACTATTTCCCACTGTATTGTCAGTCATCTTGCTTTCTGAAAAGACTAACACCAACTGGAGAGTTGAAAAGTCTTCACATTTTAAAGAAAAACTATGTCCCTTCTTCCAGAGATGTATTATCTATAAGGTCTGCCAAGAGACTGATATTTTTTTAAAATTACGAAATAAAACAAATCAAGTTGAATAATGCCTTTCACATTTATGAATGCTTCAAAAGAGGCAAATGAAGTTTTCCATTTGGGATGAACTGTAAAATTGAGAGATGATGAATAGCCCACTTGCACATTATCTGGGTGGCTGGATGTACTTTTTCTGAGTATACAGCTCTGTGAAATTATATTAGTAGCATACTAGAACACTGAAGAAAAAGATAACTTAAGGTACATCTACACTACAAGCATTGCAACAGATCACAAAA